AGAGGAAATATAAAGAGATTTATAATATTTGAAGATATATAAATAAATAAAAGGAACATAGGAAACCAGAAACAATGTTTATAAGGATTAGGAGGTCATTCAGGACTTTTCCTTGCACACACACTCACACTCACACACATACACACACACACATTTCCTTTTTAAAATTTACCTTTGGTTTTTTAAAGTTATCTACACAGTAAGTAATTTTCTTAAGAGAATACTATGTAATAATATGATAAAAGAAACATATAAAAGTCTAAATTATAAAACTATAAATGGATGAATAAGAGCCATTTGAGTTTTGAAGTAAAATGGAATATTTTAAAGAAGATGCTGAGTTTGGGGGAGGGGAAGGAATTTATAGCCTTTGGTGTGTTCTTGAAGGAAAGTGGTAGGGAGGTATTTGTTGCTTTTATTATAGCCTCTGGGCTGAGGTTCATCGCCCTGAAAAGAGAAGAGAATTTGCCCAAATTGCCCTAGTGTGGCCTGGTCTATGAAGCCATTGAGGATGAAATACTAAATCAGGTTGCAGATTCCAGTTTATCTACCTTTGTGACCAACAAAACTCTCAGTGGCTTATTCTTGATTCCTTAGGGAGACATTGTCTAATGAAAGCTTTGGGTATCTTAAAATACTCCAGTGAAAGTACAATTCTTAGTTTAAGGAAGATTCGTGCTACACTTCTGGGTGAGAATTACTGTCTTCAAATGAGTTTAGAGACTACACCAAATTTGAAAGGTAGGCTGAGCCATTTGACCTTGGCAATGCTTCATTAATTTTCAGGCTCACTTGAATTTTTTTCTCTTCCACTTCCTTCACTAGTAATTTTTTTTTTTCCTTTAGGCTTCCCATACAAAAATGATAAAACCATAAAACAATGGGTTAGGATAGAGAAACAAAAGAAAAGACAACACATTTTTGTTTACTGACAACCTGAATTCAGATGCCTGATAATGAAAGCCCTTAATCTGTCCTTCATCTAATTCTCTCCTTTGGATTTTGGAGGCCTACAAAGGTTATTGATCAAAGCTCCTCCCCACTGGGAGTTCACAGTTTAGTCTCCAAATCCAGGTGAGAAATACCCTCATTTAGGACAGCAGCTGCGAGTTAAAGTCTATAGTATCAAAACCATACCCACTACATTTAGTCAAAAATGCTTCGATGTGAACTTCTAACACTTAGAAAGAAAGAAACTGCTTTTAGAAGTGTGGTGTTTTTCCACTGTCCTCATCAGTTCCCTAGGGAAATTCCAAGGGGAAGAGACCAGGGATAAAGAGCTTTTTGTATTTCTCTTGGTTTTAACTGCTAAAACAATTTTTGTTCCATTAGGTTTGTAATGCGAGATCCTTCAGAGTGAATTTACACAACGGCCTCTGAGTTTATTAATTCATCACAACTAAGTTAGTCTTCCCATGTCTAAAAACAAATTGCTGACTTCTCACAAGTTCCAATATCTACTTATGCACTGCCTTGAAAATTGTTAAATGTAAAATTATTCCAGGTTACAAAGTCTATTCAATTAGCATGGTATATAGCATGCAATAAATAGCTATCAGCTGATCTTTCCTACATTTACTCAGATTTAGTCCAATGTCAAGCTAATCTTTAAGATACGGGTAGCTAAACACCATCTGAAATAGCCCCTAGAGGTCATCTGGCCATTAAGCTGCTAGATAGGATGGATCTCCTAAAAGGCTTGAGGAAGGACAAATGCCTTGAGATATTATCTAACTGCTTACCCAAAGTATCTCCCAGGGTTACTTATTAATGACTTTCCTGTTATCTTTTTCATATTCAAAAAACGGGGAAGGTTTGTAGAAGTTTGGCTAATCAGCCTTCCCTAGCAATAAAGACTGTGAAACTCTTTAAAAAGCAAATCCACTGGAAAGTTGCAGCCTTGCTGCAAGAAATAACCCCAAGTGGTTAAGCTCGGCTCTGCCACCTTCCCAATTCCAGCTCCAGGTCCCCAGAATGGCAGCCCGACGCATCACACCAGCACACTGCGGATCAGCGCGGCGCTGGCAGACCAACAAAGACATGTGTAAACTGTGCCCCAAAGAAAGAGTCGTCAAAATTTGAAAGAGGGTTAAGTTTCATTATTTCATGAGATCCGAAATTCTTAGAACAATTATAAACCAACATATTTAATAGATACGAGAGGCCCAAATCAGTAAATTGAAAATGAATATTTGACACGCTAAATCCAGTCTGCAGGTGACTGACAGGTCTGTAGATCTCAAATTTGCAAAGATCTGAAATAATAAAAAGTCAAGTAAAAACAACCACTGTGTAATGAACACACGTTCTCAAATTGTAAGGAATGTTACGTTGGGCCAGTTCATCCAAGATTCGTGTGTATACTGATAGGAATGGCTACGTCTCTTCACAGTGATCATATAAAGTGTTACCATTGCCCCATTTTATAGGCAAAAAAACTGAAGATTCAAAGAGCTTACATAATTTGCCCAAGTTCACATAGCCATGGAGGTTTGAAGTTATTTGGACTAAGAGGCAGAGAAGAGGAACAATTAGAGGATATGAAGAAAAAATTCCATCCTGGCCCCAAAGAGGCCAGTTCCAGAGTCACCGTGCGAGACGCCACTGCATTCGAGCTTTTAGCCTATAATCAACCCATATTGAAACCAGATTTACGAGCCCTTCAGAGGAGAGCTTTGTGATTTTCTAAAGCAGACATGTTTGGTATTTTAGAAGGTCAAACCCCCTATGGTGCAGTGTTTTTAATAAAATCAGTTCGGCAGAAATTAGAGACACACCAGTCAATTTCTAGGAAGCCTCTGAGCCATTCAAAATAACGGGGGAAATAACATAGAAGACCTAACTATGCACAGATCAACGTTTTCAAAACGGGTAGAACATAAGGGGTGTAGATACAGAAACATCTTGGCAATTTTTGTCCCATTTGTCTCGTTGGGGCAAATTTCCACTCAGAAAAATTACTTTGCAGGGGAGTTACATGACTTGTAAACAAGGGCTGTTCCAGGTGGCCTGCCTTTTGGCAGCAGCAAACATCTCTTCAGGGGGAAACAGATAAACCAGTCCCCAGCCACACACATCGGCTGCATCAGGAAGATCAGCTAATCTCCTGCTCCTGGCAATTGCTACTCTCAGGGGGAAGCAAAAGTAAATTCTGTATGTTGTTCATAGTAAAATTCATTCAAAGTTAAGAAACCTGCAATATTTTCGTCGAAAAGCCAAGTCATGCTCAGACCTAACCAACTTTAAGGCTGGTGGTGAGGACACGTAAATACTCAACGCATATCTACAAGGAGGGAGAGGATTTCGTTACTGGGGGGAAGGATGATCCCTTATGCAGCTGAACTTGAGCCCGAGAAAACTCAATGGGAGAGGCCACAAGCACAGTGCTTATTTCAGAGCATATGACTTTAAAGTCTTCATTGTTTTATTTCCTGAAGAATTGCTGAGTTCCCAGCTAATTGGTACTGGGGAGAAATGGGATGAACAGGGAATAACATCAGGGCAAAAAGACGAAGAAAAAAATTCGACTACACCTAGCCAATATGAAGACAGGCCATATTTATATCAGCTGTAAGAGCCAATGGGTGTGTATAATGGAGCAAAAAATCTTTCAATCTTCAAGCTGCAAAACTAATGTCTCCTGACTGAGAGCCGGAGTGGGCATGAGAGTGGAAATTTCACTGACTGCTAATTTTTATCAATTCTCTTTGGGAGGTTTAACAATTCTTGTGCTCCCTCAAAATGTAAGGCATGCATGCAAGAGCCATTGATCTCAAAAAGCATAATACAAATGCTATCATTTATTAAAATGTATATTTATTCCATAGCCTAACTTGTTTGGGGCAGATGGTCTATTAACTATTAAGTAATCTAGGTACTCATTTTTATACTAATCATTTCAACTCAGATTCCTCCATGATCTTGGCTAATGCACTTACTTGTCTTCTTGAACCCAAATTATGCTTAGCATAAAATATTATATATTGAATATGCAAAAAAATCTTTAAAAAATATTAATAAAGCCCCATACTCAAATATGCAGGCTATAGGTTAATTTTTAAGCAAAATTTTTAAATGAACAAAATAATTGAGAAAAACTCCATGACAAATTATTCACACATTTAAGATAAGAAAGATCTCTTTGGAGAGGCAAGTACATAAATGTGGTAAAGTAATGTTTAAATTCAGGCTGGCCAGTGTTACCAGACAGAAAGTCTTAGAAGGGAGTAAACGTCATTATTTAGTGGTATTAGTTACCAGCTAAAGCCAATGTCCTTTTTGGTTATAGTAATAAAGTGATCATTTAGGAGGAAGAAACCTCATAATACTCTGTTGTTTAAATCTCAGTTGGTATATAAGGTTTACTCTCCAAAATCTTTCTAAGGACTGGAGAGAAGTTAAAATTAAAAAATGTTAGGGGGTAACACTGTATTGAAAAAGAAGCTTTAAAAACTAAGAGCATTATACAATAAAATCAGCTAATTCGGGAGTCAAAATATTTTAATTTCGTTTGGAGACAAAATAAACTGGTCAATTAATTGACAGTAAAAATAGATAGTAGACCAAAAAAATTTAATTTCATTAGGGTCTTTTTCTTTTCTTTTTTTTTTTTGGATGGAGGTAGACACATGTAAAAAGGTATTCCAGAGCAACTGGATCAAGTCGATAAATATCACCTTTGCTGAGGCAGCTTCAGAAATTGATCCATCATGTCTGACCTGGTCTAAATAAGTTTAAGCTCTCTCTTAGAGGAAAGCTAAAACCTAGAATTATCCTAACAAAAAATGTGGGTGAGACACTGAATGATGGTCAGTACACATTCTGAAACTCTCCATGCTGTAAAAATTAAACAAGACCTTGGCCTTGTTTAGGAAAAAAATCACAGCAAATCCTATAGTTGAGAACTAGCTACTGTATGAGCCACAGCTGATCTTCATTTGTATAATTAGTATGCACTTTCTTACACTTTCCAGTTTCTCATTTACAAAAGACAACACTGGATTTCAGACAAAATATATATATTTCTTTTAAATCTTTACAATAAATCAAGATGTAGAAGCTTACAGAGAGCACATTTTAGTTTATTTAGGTACTCGTTTCCAGCTCCCTCGGATGCAAATAACTCTGGTAACAGTGTGTACATAGTCTCCTCTTTGCTTTTCACCATTTTAAAGCAAATAATACATTTAACTGTATTTAAGTCTGTGCAAATAATCCTTCAGAAGAAATATCCAAGATTCTGTTTGCAGAGGTCATTTTGTCTCTCAAAGATGATTAAATGAGTTTATTTTACTTCAGATAAAGTGCTCCTGTCCAGCAGAACTCAGAGGCCTTCAAGCGTTCAAGAAGTTTAGTTCAGATAATACTCCGTCATACAAACTCCAGCTTCCCGTGCCCGCTGTACGTGCCCCAGTGAACAAGCGAGAGGATCTTATCGTTGCTGAGGTCTGCTTGTCTCATTTTATCACAGGTCAGACAGCAGTTCTCGTGCCCGCTGACCGGCACCATGCACTCCAAGTCTAACTTTGCAATCTGCCCCTTTTTGGAATGGTGTCCGTGGAAGCTGTAGTGCAAACGGGAGAGCATCTGCTGCCTCTGATCCTGCAGTCTCTTGTTTTCACTGCGAAGCATCCTCAAGGCCAACGTGATAAGCAACACTAAGATCAGCCCTCCAGCAATCGGGACAGCGATCACCGCTGCCCGGAACCACAGCTCTTTGGAGGAAGTCAGCTCCTGCACCTTGCTGATGAGGTTCCTGCTACCCTCATGCTGGTAGCGGTTTCCTTGTCCTAAAGGAGCACAAAGAAAATGATCAAACTCTAGGTTAGCTCCTCCCAAGGATGTTCACCCCCATCCAGCCATTTTAAAGAAGGAATCCCATTAAAAAGAAGCTTACAATTAAATCAACGATATTTAGAAAATAAATATTGCAAAACTATCCAAAGAAGCTCATAAACGCATTTGTTTACAGACTGTCATTACTGAGATGTAATGGCCTTTTAATGTCTTCAAAATGTTGAAAAAACAGGCAAAACCTATTATGTAGACAGACATCTAATGCTCAGGCAGACATAAAAGCCACTCAATAGAGATGCATCTTTGCATCCAGCCGTGCCTCTCCCCCAGTGTCTCTAATTACATTAACAACAAAATCAATAGCAGACATACAAAGCCGAGGCTGTCACAAGTCTATAGATCAGGCAGGCGTGCTGGTTAGAAACGGCTTCTATACCTGAGGCCTCACCCTTGGGGGGAGAGAGGACATCACGCAGCCCTCTGTAATTGCACATGTCTTCATGACAGCATTCCAACGTGGGCACGGTGGTGCCAGAGTGGTTTTGGGCCTGTTTGGCTTGGCAGATGTCTGCTGTGCTCGCGAGAGAGTCCAGGCAGCCGTGGGTGAGGGGAGAATTCGTGTTCTGAGGATCAAGAAGTCTAGAGAAGCAGGCACTGAGCTCAGATTTACACATATAACCAGTGGCCACACAGTGGGCAGCGTCACAGTAGCATCGAATTTCACCTAAAAGCAACGAGAAATCAGGTCAAACTGTGCCGCAAAGACCAGATAAAGCAACTCTCAAAGCAACTGCTGAATCCCAAGTTCAAAGGCACTAACTTTTAGATTATTCAAGCTGAGTGCTTATAATAGCAGTCCATGTTGACTGGAAAAGCCCTTCGTGCGGTCAGTACTTAAGTTTCAATTCAGTTAAACATAATTTTAGAAATGTAGTAATCCCAATAGCAGATTTCTGATGAGTTAAGAGAGGAATTAAAAATAAGACTATCTTCTTTGAAGGAAAATAGTAATCTGTATAATTTCTCCTACCATAAGGGAAATCACATTATTTATTCATTTTAACCCTATATGACCATACAACATAAAAATGCTACGTTTTTTTATTTTTGTCAGTATAAATATTTGATCGGAACTACTGAATTGTTTACTATCCCGAAGGACTGTGCCAAGATTTAAGAGCTTTAGCTAACACCTTATAAAGTTATTAACTAGAAACACAACAATCTAGAAATTGCTCAGGTCAGGAGGTTTTAAAACTATGAAATGAGGCAGCTATTTGCAACCTCTCTAGAAAAGGCAAACTTTGCCTATAAAGATCTTTTCATGCAGAGGAGCTTTTAGTCAGTATATTGTAAAACAGGAACTAGGCAGTTTACAATTAGTGGTTTGCTTGCCAAAGTCAATTTCTTTCAGCCCAAATGGAAAGTCATAAAAGTGGAGGGGGTATAAAACTGCAAGGCTAACTTCTCCTCCTCCTCCTCCCAGTTTTACATGTAATTCAACATGTGATCTAAAAGGGGAAACCCTGAAACTGAAAATCCTCTGCTGGTTGAATGAAAAATCCTAAGGAAACCTCAAATTTTCTACAGGAAGTGCTTAAAAGTTTCCTTTATAAAATTTACTTTGTGAGTTGCAAGGCTCTGTTAACATTGTGTCACAATACGAGACTGGAGCCTTTAACATCAACCTCCAGTTGAAATAACCTGGGTCTTAAAGTTATCACTAATATGACACCCAACCTAGTGGACTCCAGGCATTGTTACTTGTCACAGCTAAAGCTACTGTGAATTGAACTAATGCATACACCTATTGCATTTCCCATCTGAAGATCTGTCTAGTTACTGAAATCCACACTCTGAAATTAAAGACAAGGGCTGCTCCTTTACAACCCTCTTTCCACCCCCTCCTTTTCCCCTCCTCCTCTCTGTGAATGCCTGAGTAAGGTGTCTCATTTAATTATCTGTCCAAATTCCAGGCCACCGTATGATATGCTTGGTTTTCACCGGAGGCTGCTAATGCTTCAGTTCTAAGAAAAACCAGCCCACTAAACACAGATCTTTGGCAACCCATCCATAACAGTCCAAAGCTCGAGGTCTTGCTCCTAAATCTGCACTCACTGCCCTGGGTGTGGGCCCAAGACCCTTAGCCAGTCCTCTGTCTCACGTAAGAACCTTGCTTTGCAGAAGTTCCCTTCTGCTCTTTCTCCTCCTCTTTCCAAGCTTACTTTATTTTTCACATAAAGCTCACCAGTCTTATGTGGTGATGATTACATATCCCTAGTTTGACAAATTCCATATACAGATTTAAAACATAAATAAAACAGATTAAAAGCCCATTTTGATCCTATTAGCCTCAGACCTAGTGCAGAAAAGGAAAACTGAATACAAGTAAAATGCTGCTTAAATGTTTATGAGAGCCTATTTAAAATGCTATATTTTCAATGACCTAAAAACAGTCTAATAAAATTTTGACAGGTAACTGGAAAAGTTCTAACAACTTTTTTCTTAATTGGAGCCACATTTTTAGCAAGGAGAATGGACTTTTGTATTACTGTATTAAAACTATATTTCTGTTGTTTCATAAAGTTTCTTCCTGTAGCATGCAAAAGGCCAGAGAGGGGACTGGTATTTTGAAACAGTGAACAATGCCCCTCTGTTCCCCCTTTTCTTGTTACTGTATGTAGTGATTAAACAAAAATGTCTGCTTTAGTCAAGATGGCTACAGGAGAGACTGCTGGCTTCTTTCAAAGCTTTTGAAGTCCACAGCAGCCAGAAATCTCTGATCCCCTAATTATATCATTATCAGGCACATAGTTTCGGTATCTGTGACTTCATGTCAGCCTCAGTCCCTCCCTGTTCTGCCAGCCTTTGATAGGGCCAGCAGGCTTCCCTCTGCAGGCTGCAAGGGCTGTTATTTAGGGTTAATTACACCCTTCCTTCCAAAATAAATAAATACTGTAGCACATCATCCTTGCCTGGCTAGCTTATCCTTTAACCTCATGCCTGCTACATGGCAATTAGAGAGAATTGGGGGGTGCAAAGGCTAAATAATGCTTCCTATCTTAAAAAAAATGTATCAGTTCACAGAACAGTAGGTAAAGTTCATGACAGGGAGGTGAGAAGAACCTTGAAATCCAGAGGAGTTTGGTTTATTTCCATCTAAAAGGTGAAAGCCCGAAAGGGAAAGAAGAAACTGACCCACTGACTTTTTTTTTTTTTTGGAGTTGCGTTTGTAAAATATGAGGTGGATGAGAAATGGGACGGCCGGCAGGACCGACTGCTCCGGGAGACTCAAATGCAACACAACACACAGTCCCGCGCACAGGCGCGCAGCTCGGACACCGCACTCGGAGACCCACTGCCTCCCGGTCAGGGACACGCAGGCACACACTCGGAGACCCACTGCCTCCCGGTCACGGACACGCAGGCACACACTCGGAGACACACTGCCTCCCGGTCAGGGACACGCAGGCACACACTCGGAGACACACTGCCTCCCGGTCAGGGACACGCAGGCACACACTCGGAGACACACTGCCTCCCGGTCAGGGACACGCAGGCACACACTCGGAGACCCACTGCCTCCCGGTCACGGACACGCAGGCACACACTCGGAGACCCACTGCCTCCCGGTCACGGACACGCAGGCACACACTCGGAGACACACTGCCTCCCGGTCAGGGACACGCAGGCACACACTCGGAGACACAGGCAGGGACAAACTCACGCACAGATGCACTCAGAGACACAGTGAGATACAGAGACACACACGCCGGGCACACTGCACTCGGGGGCCTGCGACGCGGCTCCTCCGGGCCACCGGGGTGGGGAGCGGCGGCGCGGGCGACACCCCGCCCGGCCCGCGGCGGGGACAAACGCGCACGAGTCCGCCGCGGACCGGCCCGTTCGGACCCTGAGGTCCAGTCCCCGCCGTGCCGAGCGCGGGGGCGCCGAGGGGGCGGCCGCGACTTCCCTGAGCCGCGCAACTGGCCGCGACCTGAGGCTCCGGCGCGGAGGGAGCCCGCCGAGCCCCCGGGCCCGCCCGCACGCACGCACGCACGCACGCACCTTTGGTGAGCAGCACGGCCATGGCGCAGAGCTCGAGCTGCAGCCAAACGAAGAAGTAGCTGGAGTGGCGGTCCATGGGCGCCCGCGGCCGCTACGGCCCCCGGCGCGCGCAGGGCATGGGTCCTGCCGGAGCGGCGGCGCCGTCAGCGGCGGGGCGCGCGGCCGGCCTGGGGCATGGAGCGCGGCGCGGGCGGCGCAGTTGCGGGTCCCGCTGGGCGGCCCCGGCCCCGGCCCGCTCGTCCCCCGCGCCGCCGCAGGATGGGGTGCGCCCCGGCCTCCGGCCCCCTCGACCGGCCCCCGTCCGCGAGCCGCAGAGCGCCCGCGCCGAGGACCGCAGCGAGCGCCCGCCTCTGCCCGCGGCTCCGCGCCGTAATAGCGCCCGCGCCGCGGCCGGGCGCCCGCCCCGCCCAGACCACGCCCCGGCCCGCGCGCCCGCCCCGGCCCGCCGCGCCGTCCGGCCGCGCCGCGCTCCTGTCAGTCAGCCCCGGGCGGCCGGGGCGGGCCGGGGCGGCCGGGCGGGCGAGCGCCGACCTGCCCCCGCGGCTCCCCGCGGCGCCGCGGTCTGCGGCGCGCCTGGCCCGCGGCTCCCGCGCTCCCCTCGCGCGCGCCGGCTTCGGGCCCTCGGGCGCTCTCCGCGGGCGCCCAGCCCGGCGCCGCCGCCCGGAGCGCGCGAGACCCGCGGGAGCCGGCGGGCGACGCCGTTGGGGCGCGGGCCCTTGGCGGGCCGCGGGCCGGGCCGGGGCCGCCGAGACGCCAGGCGAAAACCGGCGAGCGCGAGGGCGCCGGCGCCAGCCAGACGGCACGGCCCGACCGACGCGCAGCTGGCCGCCCGCGCCCGGCCTCCCGGGACGCGCGTTCGTCCCCGGCTGCCGCCCCGCGCACCCTCGGCGCGCTGGGAGCTCGGGCTCTTCGTTTATTATTTACTTACTTGTTTATGCGGGGGGAGGGTAAGCTTAAAACTCAGTACCCAAGGGGAACGCTGGTTTAGCCCCAAACCTGAGATTAACAAAAGTCAACCATTGCAAAGTTCCCTTTTAGGTCGGCCAGCATTCCCCCACCTGGTGTGTGGAAAGGGAGGTAGGGAGAGAAAGACAGAGAAGTGCACCTCACGCCGCAGTGGGACGTACAGAGTCAAATCCTTTAGGACGAGAGTGCGGATGTGCGCTTTAAGAAAAAAATCCATATGTCTTGAGGACTGAAAATCAAGGTGGACATATCTCAAGTGCCTTACCCTTGTAGTTTAAAGTTGTTTGAAGTCTGCAGAGCTGCAGGATGTAGCTAATGCAATTGCCTTTGTAAAACAATGTTTATATGCAGGGAAAAATAAAATAATTTCATAATGCTCTGACCATTACCTCACTAAATCAAAACTGCATCTAAAAGGAAGGAAAGACAAGCCCAGCACAAGTTTTAAGAGAAAATTAAGCCGGTTAGGGAGCCAGGCAAGGGGCCTGCTGACCGCAGACGCTCAGTCCCAAGGAAGAAAGAGTTTGATTAGAACTTCCTCACTATTAGAGCTTCCGCAAGCTAACAATTCTAAGGGGTTCACCCAGACAATACTTTCATGTAATGATACACTGTCTTTTAACTTTAGAGAGTCAGTTATTAGCTAAAAGGAAACTTTTAGAGTGTGTTCATTCAGCCATTCTGGAACTCCCACTGCTGGCCAAACTCGCTGTGTCTGAGCCATAAAGATGCCATAAATGGCAGGGCGCAGTGGCTCCTGCCTGTAATCCCAGCACTTTGGGAGGCCAAGGCAGGAGGATCACTTGAGGCTGTGAGTCTGAGACCAGCTTGAGCAACTTAACAAGACTCAGGCTCTACAAAAATATGGTTTAAAAAATTTGAATGCGAAAACCTAGACAGTAAATCTCCAAGAGTGGAGTTGGAGGATGATAGAGATTGTGTGCAGGATGCTATGATGCATGAGAGAAAGAGGTAGTCTACTCATACTCCAGAGTTTTTCCTCTTGTGAAAAAAATAAAGATAATAAATTTAATTAATAATAATATAAAAAAGAGGTAGTCTACCTAGAAAGTTAAAAGAGTCCAGAGAGATGAAGAGGACCATAGGAATTTAGGCATGAAATTGTTTGATTGTGGGGCGGGTAGGGGTGATAAGGAGGGGATGGATAGATGGAACAATTCTTTGTGGCTAGAACATAAAATGCAAAAGTATGGAGAGAGATATCCCAGAAATTAACTGTATTTACCTTTGATGCAGATAAACACTCATTTGATGGAAGAGGTCTGGGCAATGTGCTGGTGAAAGTTGTATTTTAGTAAACAGAGAATGTCCCCATTCACTGCAGTGGGCATTAGCAACCAGACTAGGAGATCGTGCCCCTCTGTCCATAGCTGGTCACATGACCCAAGCTGGGCCAGTTAGGTTCTCTCTTCCTTCTCTGTCTTTGGACACAGATGTCGGTCAAATTCTAGAGGTCATTTCACAGGAAACATATAAATTCAGTTGTCAAGCAGCTATAGTCCACCTGTCTGCAGAGAGGAGCAAAATGATGAAGATAGGCAGAGTAGCCAAAATGTGAATCCAAACGGATTTCCAGTGACTTGGCTTCACTTCTTGTCCTTAGACTCAGTCACTTTAATAAGTTTCCCCTTTTACTTAAGGATCTTTTAATTGCAACCCAAAAGGCCCAAACGAAGATACTTGTATCTCACTGAATTAATATTAACTTTGATCATTCCAGCTTGCATACTTTTTTTGCTTCAAATACAATTCAGAATAAGATCTTGTGACCTATTCTTCAGACAGTGATAGCCACTCTTTTGTTTGTATTACTAATGGACAAACTTTTTAAATGACTAGAAATTATTTTTAAGAAAAACACTTCTGTATTTTATCTAATTGTTTTAGAGAAGGCCTTTCAACTAAGTGAATAAGAGTGTTTGAATCAATGTGGAAAATCAAAATTGGTTTTAGGGATCCTATGTAAATTATGAGACTATCAATAGTTGAGAAAATAGGCAACAACTTTAATTCAATTTAAGACTCTTAAAGAAAATTGCTTCTCTATAGAATTTTACTTGTGCTTTATACATAATTCGGTTACTTCTTTCTTACATGTAAGTTGATAAGTAGAGGAAAAAATAGTAAAATCTACTCTTCTTTTGAATCAAGAAATGAAAGCAATGACCAAAATTCTTTTTACTCTTACAAAGGGAATTCTCAAAACAACGTGGGGACAAGCTATTTATATCTAGGAATAGAAAACTAATTCTAGATCTAACTGAAATAATTAACCACCACAATGGTTTTATTTTACTGCCTTTAAACAGTGTTCTAGATATGATTTATCCATGGATACATGTGCTATATAATCACAACATGCCACTACAGGACATTTTTATGGCAGTCATACACCACAAAACCCTTTTGTTAAACAAAACTGTAAATATTCTACCAATCTCTGCTTACTCAAATAATGCTGTTGTTTCCCAAAGTTATATGTGATCCCCATTTTCAGCAATGCCTCTCTCTCTTCACAATGGTGATTCAAAAAATAGCTCATAGTACATTCTGTTCAGAAAGAAGGCAGTTGTGTTCAGGTTCCTGGCTCACACACAAACAGCTATTGCAGACTAGCGATAGAATCTAACATTTCTGCCTGTTATACAAATCTTCTACCAACTAACAATCCACAGAGGTTAGGTAACACTTTGAATTTCCAGTAGCAGCTTAAAAAAAAAACAGTCACTTTTTCTCAGTAGAAGTTAGGTGTTCAGATTTAAATTTTACTTTTATTGGAAAAGGTCAAAGATGAGAGATCAGCCAGCCCAAAGGAATTGCTGTCTAGTTATGTCTACTTAGAGTTTTTTGTTTAGTTGACTGGTTTTTGGTTTGGTTTTTGTTTTGTTTTGTTTTGTCTTTTGTCCAAAATGGAAAAGGAGGTAAAGGACTGACTGTAGAGTCTGGGAAACAATGCGACAGGATTCGAAGGGACAAGATTGCAAGATTGAAGCTTACATTCCAAAATGCCTATCCTCCCACATACTAGCAAAAAAATGCTCTGGGGTCTCTCAAGCCATAGAATAACTGTTGAGATGAGGTTTTCTTACAAATTTTTAAAGCTACTAAATTTAGAGTACAGGAAGAATCATTCCTAAAGATCATTGCTTTAGAAACTTAACAATGGGCATTTATAATCAAATAGCATTATATAATTTATAATCAAATTTATAATCAAATAGTATTAAGTACATTGTCATCCTTCACATCTTCATAAATCCTTATTCTACTTGGTTATGTTAATGTAACCCCTCAACTAAACCAGTAGAACTTAAAAATTATGCAATAGCCTGCTAGTTTTGTCTACTTGATGTCAAATTACCGGTTTGATTCCTTTTGTTTTGATTTAACTAAAATGATGAATTAATCTTTTAAAAGGGACCAATTATCTTAGACAAACTCCTACCTGACAAAAGAGCATCGGCCCAGAATGCTGTTCAGTGATGCAATGAACAGTATTTTTTAGCTTTCTCCCCTCAGCTGATAATAATTCACTTATTTTTTTTTAGAATAGAACAATTATTTATATACAAACTGCTGAAATCCAGCTTTGATATGTTCATTAGACAGCCAAACATTTAGACTCTTGTATGAAATTGGTTGAAAACACGCATCCTTTCCCAGCCCCTGCCCACACTTCTGCCCCTACCCACTCTGCTGCTCTTTGATGGCCCTGTACTCACTTCTCTTACCCTAAAGCGATTCTCTTCTAATACTGGAATCGCAGACGGAAATCTCATTGACACAACAGAATGGGTCTTTTGCAGTAGAGCTTTGAAATGACTTCTGTTCACCATTATGTTCTGGTCACTGTCATTGTTTTTATTTCATACTTTCTAAGGAAATTACTAACTATATAGTACTTTTTTTACCATCTACAAAATATCAAGATACACATTAAATTTAATGTATGTGTTCAAGCCATGAAATGAAATGCCAGCCGAATGAACATATCTTTGAATATTTAATGCAATTCAATGAGATTTATCCTATGGGCAGAGGTTATAGGGAGAGCTATGCACTGAGTGAGATCATCCGTGAACTGAATTCTTGTTTTATTCTTGATATTAAGGGAAGAACTTCCTAATGCATTTTGTTTTCAAATTTAATAATCTTCCTTTGTTCTATTTGGTCACTTAATAAATGAGTTCCTA